GCTGCAAGCAGCCACAGGCAAGAAACGGTATCGCTAAGCCCTGAAGGGCTTTGCTGCCCCCTCTCTTCAACACAAACCAAACCGAAAGGGAGAGGGGTCAGAAGACAAACCAGGAGGGGAGGTGATGCAGGTCTGGAACAGCATTTGGCTCTGGATCACTTCCCAGCCCGACGCTCCTCCTGACGCTTGGTGAGGATGTATTTGAAGAACTCGTACACAGACCAGGCAATTGCCGTTGAGGGCATCTGATAAATGACTCTCGCCTGGACCCCTCTGAAGTAGGCGGTCACGCCGCCCACTTGGTACACCGTCCTGAAGGCATTGGCCATGCCTGTGATGTGTCCGCTGATGTTGGAGCTCAAGGCCAGGGACTCCTGGGTGTTGAGCAGTGTTTTGCAAACGTCCAAAGGCGTAGTGGCAGCAGCAGCGACAGCCCCCGCGCAGGCTCCGGAGACCACGTGGGAGCTTGGGTTGTACTGTCTGTGGGGGTTGAGCTGCTCTTGCAAGAACTCGTAGGTCATGAAGTGAATGGCTTGGAAGGGGATGTTCATGGTGAGCTGGGTGGTGTAGCTGCGGTAGAAAGCTCCGGCCCCTTCGTTGCGCCACACAGCCCGCACACAGTCCGTCACACGCTGGTAAGGCGAGTTGTACATCTGCATCCTCTGTTTGACCACTTGGGATGGACATCGGCAGCCAGCAGCAGCACCCAGGACCCAGGCGTGGAGGGGAAGAGGAGAGGGGAAGGTTAAGCACGAAGCCAGGCTTCCTGCGATCGCCTGGAGTTTAGTCACGCTCATTTAAGAGCTAATGATTGACAACTTGGGCCTGCTGAGGCATCACCGTCACACACACGCATATCCACCTGCAAACCTCAGTGCTACCACAACCCCAGCGAACACCCCAATACCCAGGTGCTTTGACTCCAGATCCACCCTTGCTCCCAAGTGACTGACACCTCCCCATCCACCGCCGCAGAGCGACCACGCAGTCAGGAGAATCCCCTCTGCATCTATTCTCTTATTTTCCAGACAGCTCTGTTTGGATGAGCCTGTCCCGCCCCAGCCGCCCCTGCTGCAGCCCAGAATAACCACAGCACATTGCAGAGCCCACCAGCCAGGAATCGTTAGCAGCCACTGCCGAAATGCAGCCACTCCGAGACAAGAACCAAAAGCCAATTCCCTCCCAACTCATCCAAATGCGGGGCAGGAGAGCCCAGCATGCAGCCTGTTACTGTCCTGCCCCCCCATCTTGACATGACCACAAGAAGTCAAAACCGATACGACTACAAACTACGACAGCGGTGGTGAGTCGAGCTCCATGGGAGGAATGACAACGGCCCGGCCACGCAGCTGCCTGCTCCTCAGGGTCCCAGCCAGGCCATGGGCAGGCAGGAGCCTTGCTGGGCGCAGATCAACTGGAGCCTGCACTGTCACGACCTCTCCAGTTTTAAGAGGAAAAAAAAAATGTTCATGACTGGCCTTTTCTCATTATTCCCCCTTCTCTCACCACATTCACAGACTTTAATTACAAACTCCCTCTGCAGTTTTCATACATACCAGGCTCCACAAGAGCAGTATCTTCCAGACATTTCACAAGACCTCCCTTACCCTGACTTCTCTAGCACGCCTTCTGTACCCCATTCTTTCAACTCTCTTCTTGAACACAGGCCCAGAACCATACCACATCTTCCTGAGATCTCACCACAGCAATGCCCAATTAACACACGCTTGGAACGACTTCAACAGTACGGATTGCGTCTCTCTTGCCTTCTCTCCTGCTCCAGGTAACTGTCACAAGCCAAATCCCTGGGCAAAAGGCTGGTGCCCTCCTGGCTCCTCCTTAGCTGGGGTTTGCTGCGCTCCCCAGAATTAATCTCTTCTACCTACCCCCTCTGTAACGGGCAGCCACGGGGCTCCCTAACTGGAGCCCCAGCCACTGGCCCCGAAAGGATCCTTGCGGTTGGGTGAACAACGAGGAGAGCACCTTCTGTGCCCCAGAGGGGACCTGAGCGGCCCCGGCAGCCCCTGATCCTCCCCTCCCCGGCAGGCCAGGACCATCGTTACCTTCGGCAGGGTTCATGGCTGCATCGTGGAGCAACGTTGCTACACACCCGGCTGCACCTGCAAAACAAGAACTGCCACATGTGAGGGGGGGAGGCAAGGGACCCCAGGGCTCCACCACAGCCCCAAGTCCCCTGCTGAGGCACAGGAGGAGGCCCCTGGAAAAGGGCAAGATCCGAAGGCAGCCTCCATTTCCCCTCCAAGAGACAGGCCGGTCCTCAGCAGTTCCCCACGGAGTACTCAAGAAAGAGGGAGCGGATTGCGACAGGCTCTCATGTCCTGTGGGCCAACTGGAACTCACATGGGGACAGGCCAATGCCACCAGGTGACAGGGGGCCCAGAGGACAGCGAGTGTCCCTCTGCCCCACGGAGAAGGAGAAACCCA